GTTCTTGCCTCATCCAACGTAATCGCCCACGTCTGAAAGCTGGATCACCTGCCATTAACTGAGAAACACGCTCCTCTTTAGCAAGATCATCATTCTCACTTCTTTTTAAGTCATCTGTGGGCTTCTTATCCACATCCACCACACTGGCAGAGTTTGGAGACTTAGCATTAGCTATGGTTGACTGAGCTTTCTCTGGAGACCCTATCAGAGGTAAAACCTTCTCCATTTTTAGCATCTTATTTCTGAGAACTTTTATCTCTTCATCCTTCATGTTGTTCTGCTTCTTCACTTCTTGCAAAATATCTTCCAATTTGTCTATGTGCACCTTAAGGTCATCCACATCAGTTACTCCTTTGCCATTGGCCATAACATCTTCAATTTTCTCATCTCCAACTCCTACTGTATCCCAGACATCACGAGCAACGGCTCGCCACGATTCACGTTCGTTTGGATCTTTTTTCCCATACATGGCACAAAGCTCTTTCATTTTCACAATGGCCAGAGCCTCAATCTCCTGCCTAGAGTGCCTGAAGTCATTGAGTGCTACCTCATAGCATATCTCTTTCACAGCCTGAATCTTTAAGTCTGAGATGGTAACCCATTTGGAGTCTTTGCTAAGGCGTCGACGTTGGGGTATCTGGTACATTTTTATAGGCTCTCGTTTCTTCCCACTGCTGGGGAGGCCACACTTTTTTACAATGGTTTGGAGCTTGCTGGGGGGCAGCTTCTCTCTCAGGGAAGTGATCAGTCTCCAACTCTCCTCACACGATCTCTTGTCCGAATCATCCCCACTATCAGAGTCTGCATCCTTTGGAAAAACAAAAATCAAGAAGTGGCCCCAAAATAACCAAAATTAAAATTGTAAGAAAATGGAAAAGCTAAACAAGAAGTAGCAGGCAAAGAAAACTAAATCAAAAATCAAAATAGAACAAGTGATAAGGAAGTCCCTGAAGACTGGGTGTTAGGACATTAAAATGTATCTTCAAGAGTCATGGACTGTCAAAATTGGAGCTCTTCACTAAATTAAGATTAACATTATATTTAAAAGTCTTGTCATCTCAAAATAGAAGATAATGTAAACTCTTCCCTCCCAATCCCTTCCAAAAATCTTTAAATGGATCAACTAAAACCAAGTTCCTGATTAAAAAAAAATTAAAAACCAAGTGTAAACTGCACTTCACACATGCTACAAAGACATGCAAGTCCCCGCCACACACATTTGCCTTGGTGACCGCTGTTGCTTCTTTCAGCAAATCCTCCCCAGGTAGGTGAACACAACAGCCATCATAGAAGATGTCATGAGCAGCCAGAGTAAGTCGGGTTAACACTGGTTAGTAACGTTGTACGTGGTTGCAGGGATGCTCAAGTTTAGAATCCACTTCACTACAATAGCAGCCAGAGAAGTGTTAGACGATAAGAAAAAATGAAACAGAAGCAGCCGAAAGGTTCAATGTTAAAAGGACTGTAAGTGCCACTATGACAGGTGAAGAGAGTGGTTCATACTCCAAGACTTGCTACAAGCTAAAAGGATATCCAGAATCAGAGTTTCAGAGTTGGGCTGTGGTTTGGGGTGGGGATTTTTTTCCCATTTGTCACCTTGTTGCTTAAACAAAAACCCCATTAACAGTCTTGTCTGTCCGAAGAACGTGTTTCAGAAGAATGTAGCAGTAATGACTTTTTTTTTTTCCCTTTAAACTGTTTTAATACAAATTCTCTATTTGATATTCTTGATGTGCTCTCTTCTCAAACCCTAGAGCCTGGAGCTTCCACACACTTGCTATGCTTCTTCATTACAAGTTTTCCACCTTTTGCTAAATGATTTTAATGAGCAGTGCTTCAAGTTTCCATACGCTAGGAATGTCTGTTCAGGTATACTGCCACCAGAAGTTAAGGATATCCATTATTGCTTACTGCAACCAGGAATTAAACCAGGACTATTTTTCTTTAAAGGATTATTAATTTAAGACAACTCTTTAACAAAGTCCTATGTATTACTGTGATCCAAACATCCTCAGTAAAACACAGCAATCAGTCTCTAATGAACCTCTATCTAACGTCCCTATTTTTCACACAGAGAATTTAATACATGAGAAATTAGGAACAGTAAAAGCCAGTTATTCTAAATCCAAAGGAAACCCAGGTCGTTGACTCAGAACCCCGGGTTCCTAAACTTAAGACTTTGGGTAGAAAACCACAAAGAATGGTGATTACAATACAATTTGTTTTGGCAATGATGAAAGGGAGTAAAAGAAATACTGTTTTGCCCTATGGTCAACAAGCTCCACAGCCCAAGATTCACATTATTTGGGTTTTTTTGTGACCTTATGTATTTTTAAATATTTAAGAATAACACTAGAAAATCGACTTCTAGTTTAGGCCAAAATATAAGCAAACCGTTGGTTTAGAAACAGAACATAAACTCTTTGTGAGTTTACAGCCAACAGAATTTGTGTCCTGAGGAAACAGCATCTAACAAACTGCATATTGCAGTGGAAACAAAAGATGCCCTGGAGAAAGACACTGTACAATCTACATATTCAAAGTTACGTCCAGAAAGGCAAAACACAAACTACTCAAACTTTAATCACAAATTCCACAGGATTGTTCTTACAGATTACAAAATCACCATATCACTTCTTATGGGTAAAGCATGTCTTGTGTATAAAAAGCTGATTAAGAGACACTATGTGGTCATTGTCCTGTGTACACTCAGAGGTTAACCAGACCAACTAATATAGGTACATACCCACATTCTAATATCAAGTGGTCACTGCAAAGGCATTATGACCCAGAAAACCAGAAAGATAATTTTAGCTCTATTAAACACATTTTCACATTCAATTTGTAAAATGGAGTGTAATTATTTCTATTCCCTAGGAATACTAGCAAGGCAAATATGTATCAGTTGTAAATTTGGGGGGGACGAGCTATTATTTATCTTTTTTGTATAGGGCATCTAACAAATAGATATCCAAATTGGCTAGAATGTCAGTAAAAAATCAAAACAATCTGGTAAACAGGATTAGTCAGCTTCTTATATCCAAGATTATACTCCAATTTAGAACAAGAATATTTATATTTCAATATCAATCTTAAATAGCAGTAAGTTAGAGAACTTGATATTGCAGCTAGATATATCCCAGCCATGTAAATACTTTTAAGGTACACAAGCTGAAATGCATTCCCAGATTTCACAATAGTTATATGAATCCATTAATCCTGTCCATTCCAGACTCTGCATGGAAATGACAGAGAAATGACATAGAAGTGACAAGACGTGTCAAGTTTTGCTCTCATCTGAAATATTCCTATTAAGCACTGCGATAAGCAGGGATACTGCTTAGCAGACCAATGATCTCATCTGATAGGATCCCTTACAACTAGGAAAGGTGTCCTTCAGGAATTCTATTCTTAAGGCACATAGGATAGTCTTCCACCTTTGTCCACTAAGTGAAATCAGCAAAACCAAAACAGGCTTTAACAAATCAGCAACTTTATCACAGTATTGAACAGCTCACTACCTAAAGAACCTTCTCTTAATCTGAAGTATACAGGGAAACTGTCAAAACACTTTTATAAATGCAGCCTTATTTGAAGTAGCTCCCCAGACAGCCAATTCTCACATCTTTAATTCATACAATAGCTTAGCTTATGCCTGTCAGCTGAAATGTAAGGGAGGGAATTCCACTACTTGTAGCTCCTTTGACACACAGCAAAAATTTACTCAATACTTAAATTGTTCTTCCTTTGACATTGAACTGATTTTTCCTGTACTACTTTCAGCTACACAAATTTTAACTATAAATCGCAGAGATGAAACATTGCATTAGTTACATCTTAACTTCTTTTCTGAGTTGAGATTTGCTTTGGTTCAAAGTCTGCAACCACTCGTCTCCATCCAAGAAATTAGTCCCTTGCAATGAAATAATTAGAAATGCAGAAGTCTTTAAGTGTATAAGATAATTTTTTTAAATTATGTAGCTTGTACCTATAGAAGTCTCAGTAACTTTGCTCCATTCTGCTTTTGGGAGAAGGGGAAGAGCTTTACAGTTTAAAACCCAGCATGCATTTAACCCATGGTTTTCAGCAGTTTCAAACTAATACTATAAACAAATGAATCATGATTTCAAAATTTTTATTAGAATTCAGGCACAACTACATTTGTGTTCTGGCTAAAAGACAACCCAATGTAGTGAAAGCAGAATCAGGAGACTCAGGTTTCTTAAGGAAATCTATATTTCGTTTCTGGGCTTGGTCTTATTTTTAAAATTCACAGGGTGCTTGAAGACTGCACACATTTCTATTTGTAATGCACTTCAGAAGGTATTTGTTGCGAGAAGACTGAAGTCTTCCTCTCAGACTCAATTTATCAGACTTCCTATTTAAGTAATAGGTGGAATGGTGGAATTCCCATTGTTCAGAAAGAGTTCACATTCCTTTTGCAGACTGTTCCCTAGTCATAACCCCACTAATGGCATGTGTACCATTAAGACCCTTACAAGGAACTCCATGCAGGGGGAGGGAGAAGGGTTAAAACATGCACAATGCAGCAACATTTTCAGACATCATTCAAAAAAAAAAAAAAATCCTAGCATATCAATGTTCTAGGAATCTCTTTGGCAGCAAAATTAGTATCTTCTGGTGATCCAAGACAAAAATAAAGGCAAACATCCCAAGAAGTAGCTGTTCAGACTACTGAAAAGAACTTAAAAAAACCACAGAGCATAGAAATGCCCTTCTTTCAGGTTAATTTGCAAGAAATCCAACCTATCCCAACAAGAACTGACTAAAGCCACTTCACTGTCAATTACAGTGTCTGAATTAACATGAAGGAGTTCACTGACACTGACAATAATTCATTGCAGATACAGAGTATTTGAAAGGAAAGGGAGAACTGCATTGTGCAGACAACCCAAGCAGGTTTCGTAAACTTTCAGATAAGCAAGGACAGGAATTACTGTTTGCCAAAGGTATAGTTAATCTGAAGTAAGGACACATACCAGTCTTTGCTGCTCCAACAAGAGATCAGCTTCCTCCTTCTCCTTCTTATACAAAATTTCCATTTCTTGTAACCTGAAGATGAACAGAAGAACAGAAATTGCCAAAGAGGTCAATATTTTCATGTTGGTGTTACTCTACACGTACAGCACACCAAATTACAGTGACAAGAGTAAAAGTCATTCCACTTGAAAGGAACTGTTATTTGTCTATTGTAGTACTATAGAAGTGAACCTTCCTCTAAGTCACAGTTCAGCCCTTCACCAAAAGCTCTATAAGGTTAGTGGCAGATGCTTACCTGTGATTTTTAAAAGAGCTTGAGCACTGAAACAGTGAAGTAAAATGATGAGGAAGCTTTCTGAACTTTCACAATAGGTAGCAGAGATGATATATGGTAGCACCTAGGTTTAGGTTTTGCATGGATGCTACCCAAATAACCTAGAGCTGACTCCTCCTAGTTTCAAGCAAAAAATTTGAGTTATTTTGTTACCTTTTCTCCATCTCCTGCTTCATGTCAATGCCTTGCTTCTCCAGAAGCTCCCTCTGAGCAAATGTCCAGTCAACTGGCTCAGAGGGAGTCTCAGCTGACGGTGTTTTCTCTCTTTCTGCTCGTGCTTGCTCTGGATGGTTGAATCTGAAGACATGATTTTTACCCATGATGATACGATTTCCTAAAAATAGGAACAGTATTTAACTCTTTCAGGTAACCATTCCAAAACCATTGAAAAACATCACTGAATGATTCATCCCATTTATCCTGTTGGGTGAAAGCATAAGAAAAGATTGCCCTATAAGGATTTCTGTATACATTCAAGTTATCTGTCTGACAAGAAAGAAAAAAAGAATGGCTGGTTTGTACAGAGGGAGTGCTCACAGAGGACATCATCACCCTCAGGGGTCCAATCCAATATGCCAGCAGAGTTTATCAAAAATTAAAGGACAAATCTGGAGATTGACCAACAGTTGCAGTAAATAAAACACATCACTAAATTCCATTCTTCTGCTCCAGTGACAGTGCCAAAACATAAGCAAAAGCCACTTCAGCAGAATTTTCAGCTTGGAAAAGCCTAACTTCAAACACTGGAAGTGCTTAGTTTTCTTTAAAATGTGGTTTACACATAATGATTTTATTGGAGTCCTAATCAGTGGGATTTATGTAAGGGTTTTACAGCTTCTTTTACACTAATGTCAAAAGAGCTGAAGAAATCTAATATTGTTAAGTCTTTTGGCTAAATCCTAGAGATATCAGATGTTCACAAAGCCTGAGACATGTGCATGATGGAAGACAGTAATATGCCTCTGCTCTTCCAGAGAACATATTAATGTAATTAAAATTTTAAAAAGGCATTCTAGTAAACAGACCTCCAAAGTAACCAAAATTGTCCTTACCAGTGTTACTGAAGTACAGGCTTCTAAAGCTGTTAGAGACCATGTCTGTATTATTCTAGTAACAATCATCCAAGTGCAGAGGAAAATGAAAAATTTCTATTTTTTTTAAAGGCAAGTAATTACTAAATTATAAAGTCATGGTATTCAGTATGAGCCATATGCAGGCACAGAACAGCAAAAACTGATCTTCCTTCATTTTCCAGACTCATGCTGAAGTCAGTGCACTTGGTTCCATAAAAATACTCACTTATAACTTGGTGCAAATAATTCTGAAGTGGGGTTTCTTGTTTTTTTGTTTTTCTTTTTCCTTTTTCCCCTCACCAGTGGAAAAACAGGGGAGGGACAGAGAAATCATAATAGCTTGAAAGAGATAGTTTAAACCCCATAATTTATGGGAGTCACTCCCTCCTCTCTAATTCTTCCCCCACATGCCTTTCTAAAGGAATGTAGGGGACCAAGTGAGAAATCCAATGAGAGCAAAGAGAAACTCTTGCACTCATGCAGAGGGTCATATCTTAACCTTGCCAAGAAACTGGGAATTTTCCATCAGCAACTGGCAGTCTGTCTGCTCCATCTCACTGAGACTGCCAAGGGCAATAGGCTTGGGCAAGAATGCATTTGAATAATATCAGGGTAAGCAGAAGGACAAGCAGGAAGCTGCGTGGCAGTGAACATTTCAGTACACTTACAGCTAGTGCAGCAGAGAATGAAAGAAAACAAACTGCTGCCAAGAGAAAAATGGTATCAACTGCTGTTTAACAGCCACACCCCAAAAAGGTAACACTGCTGCCCTTTAACAGACCCAGCATTCTCCACATATGATGCAGATGTCATGATGAACAATTATTAGATGGAGAGTCTACAAAAAAATTCATTCTAGCAGTTCTTACCTGAGCGCAACTGCACAGGCTGTACAACCCTCTTGCCATTAACGTAGGTTTCTGATCGTTCACAAGGCTCCAAAGTAACAATAACTATGAAGGAAACAACATTGATGACTGAGACTTTAGAGAGCATTGTATAGAAACAGAAGTTTGTAAACACTACAGACCTCACATTTTCTGCCTATCTTCCTACTAACATTGAAAAAAAAGATACAAGATACTCCCTGATACCATGCTTAAAAATAAAGTCCCATGAGAAAAACCAATATTACTGATATCTCCATATTGCAGTTGAAAATTATTATTATTTTTTCTGTTTGAATTTTCATGTTTATAGTTAACCAAGAACTTCACTCTTACAGTGACTGCAGCCTGCTATTTGAACCTATTATCACTTAAACTTTATTTTCTTCCCCTAAGACTCAAGAAAACAGTGAGGCAAAGCTGATGGTTTTCTTGAGGCAAGACAAACTTTTAAACACTAGTATTCCCTGGCCAACTATGCAATGAGGAGTGAAAGATTCAGCAACACTTTATGTTTTACCTTCACCATTGTTGTTCCTCTCACTTCGAAAGATACAGTGTTCTTCTTTGATATGAGCCCCACTCAACACAATGTCTTGCCTTCGCTCAGCATCAGCTTGGCCAACCCTGGGTCCAATAGAAGATATTGAAAAAGCAAATCAGACACTTTCTACAACTCTATATAGGACAGTACAGCCCAGAAATATCCAGGAAAGAAGTCTAAACTGTTAAGACTATCCTTCAAGTTTAAAGGTTTGAACTAGCACTTAACTCTGCATTGCAGAGAATTTACCACATTTACCATGAATTAGAGGATAACAGCTTAACAAAAGAGAAGTTTTCTCTCTCTTAACACATGTAATTTAAAGAGAGAATTGGAATGTTAAACACCTCTGGATTTAATGTGTTGCCTTCCCTCTTGTGAACCCCCTTCTGCCTTTACCAAAAGGATGCAGAAGAAAAAATAAAGTGACAGGAACTTCCAGTGGTGCATTTCAGCTGCATACAGTGATCATCCCTTCCAATAATCACCATCTGCACTTTAAAAAAGTCATAATGGCTCAGAAGACTCTTGCTGAATAATTTGATGCCACAAGCAGTTTCATTCAGCTCCCAGACAGTGAGATGTTGGCTGTATCCCTGGAGCATGAAGATTTATGTTCATTTTAAACTCAAATATTTGAGCAATTCTAGATACTGACAACTTAATTTTCAATCCTGATGTTTACTAGCTTCTTGCTCTATTTATTACTCCACACATTTCTATGTCAGCTAGCTAGGTTCAAAGCTTATAATGATTTCTTAAGCCCTACACTATTCTATTCACCATTCTGTGCTGAATTTTCTACAAGTTTCATCTTCTTTTCAGTACATCCTATGCATATTAGAGTAGTACAATACAACAGCACCTGTTTGTGTCTTCTTCTCCATTTGTCCTCCAGCAACCAAAGATGGTTTCTGGAGAACCAAAGCAACCAAACATGGCTTAGTGCTCCAAAGATAAGAGCCACTTCTCTTCCTTCAGATGTCTTGACAGCAAGTTTTGGAATACAATCTATTCTAAATTCTAAACTTAGCAATTAAATTTAATCTTATATATGTGAAAGCAGAATACATCAATTGTGCAGAGGCATGGATAACAGTTTATTTAAATAAATAACAAAGTAAACATTTATCCATATTCTAGTTGCTTTTAGCAAGTACTATGGTTTTCAATCCTCCGCCCATCAAAATGTCAAAGGCATTTTCAGTAAGTTTTATTACTTTTGTTTTCCTGTATCTTAGAAGGGATATGATGCCTTTTTTTTTTACTGCTGAGGTGTAGTAACAAACATCTTATAAAGCTAAGTGATTGCACATATTACTTTTAAAGCACAAAATCAACTTAAAAGAAAGTGCATTTCTGTACTTTTTTTCCCCACCTACAGCAATCTCGGGCTTCATTTGTACCTGCAAGTTGAATAGCTCAAGGCAAAATTGTTATTTAAACTCACGGTGTCTCCAGCATGGGGATTTAAGTTAGCAAAGAAGCAGACTTCAGAGCATATTAGCACCAATCCTCACCTAGTAATACCATCTTTGATGTAGTACAGCAGACATTCAGACATGAGTGGATCTTCATTAAGGTTTACAAGATGAGGAGTCTGAAAGAAAAAAAAAGAGAAGTTAATTAAGAACTGAGGACCCACTTTCAGGCTTCTTCCCACAGTGCCAGAATATGTATATTAATCCACCAGTTTTGCTATGTATATTCAAGGTTATTCCATAATGTGTTTTTTCAAATATAACATCTTGCAGTACTGTAGAGCATCACAAAGTAACAGCAGAAATACAGCTCGGATTGCTTAGTTATCTGAAATATCTACCAAAAGAGGTAATAAAAGCTTCAGCTGGGGAGAAAAAAAAAAGATTACTTGTAAAATCTCTGTAAACTTTGATAAGGAAAATCCAATGGCAGAAAAGGTTGCTTCAGTAAAGTTTTGAAATTGATGTGGAATCAACTTTGGCTTTTCTTGGGCAACACAGGTCAGGTGATCATTTGGCCAAGTCTGCTAATGTCAAAAAAAAAAAAATCTAAAACTACCAACATTTTCTGACACAAACAGCTAAAAAACTCTTCATCTAAATTTCTTCTAAAGTTAAATCCACTACGGTTACTAAACCGACCTTCTTTGGTGAAAAAACCCCATAGGAATCAGCAAACAAGTCACAAGGCCTTGGTGTGAAAATCTAGCCAGTGAGATAGCAGTAAGGACAAGCACAAAAGAAAAGGCAAAAATGGTTAAACAGAATAAAGAAAAAAGATCATAAAAGAGAAATAAAACTGTTAATAAGCCACTTGTCCATTTGTTACCCTCAAATAGAATAAATTTAGAAAAAGTAAATAAATCTGGCTAAGATTCCTTGGGAACTTTGTTTCCATCAGCTTATTCCAGCTGCAAAAGAGTTTACTTAAGAGATGTTAACAGCACTTAGTTTACAGAAGTGGAAGTTCACAATTAAGTTTGTCTTTGAATGAAGAAGTCTGATTGTCAACTGCCCAATGGAATATTTAATTATAAAGACAGAAAGGGGGGAAAAAAACAAGACAACTTTTTCACCATTAAAAATATAGAGGGCACCTAAAATCACAGCTGAAGATATCCCACACCATCATCACTATTCACTGCATTCAAAACAACACTTGGAGCTGTATAAAGCTCTTAAATCAAGAGAAAACTGGAGATAAATCAAAACCCAGGCATAGTCAACTGCTGTAACACACTATGACTTGTACCACTTGGAGACTTTGAATATAATGCTGTACCCTGCACATACATGTTTTAGCATCTGAGTTCATTTACTACGTTAAATCAAAGTCTGAATGGGTCTTTCACAGGCAAGAGAGCTTTTAAGAAATAAAGCTCAACAACTTGAAAGATGATCCTAGCAAAACTGACCATTCACTCATTACAAGATCTATTATTTATTCACAGACAGTTATGTCTGCAACTTCCTCCTCTACAGCATTCGTCTAGCAAGAGCTGAAGGACTTTCTCTTTTCCCTTTTGCACAAGCAATTAAATTTCAACAATCTATTTCAAGAAGTTTCCTTTCATCAAAGGTAAAACCAGTAGATAAAATAATGATTGCACAGTGTGATACCTTTTAATTCATGAAGTGGGCAAAATTCACTTCAGAGTTCAATTTACAGCCCAGCTGGTATAAACACAATGCTGTCCTAGTAGCATATGATTAGATTCATACTGGTAACTCAGAAGTGTAAAGTCTTTATTAAAAAAACCTTCAAATTTGCTACCTACAACTCCTAAATTTTCACAACAGCAGACATGGTTACTAGAAGGAGAACTAATGAAACTGAAGTGCAAGGATAGCAAGGGACAGAAGCAGACAGGACTAGGTCAGGAGTTCTACTTCTCCTAATAAATCCTATATGGGTAAAAATAAACACTATCTATTACCAAAGCAACTACTTAATCCATGTGGCATTTACAGACAAACCTGATCAGCTGAAAATGCACCAAAAGAGTCATCAAAAAGAGTTGAGGGCCTCTGAGGGAAAATCTAAAAGGAGATGAGGATCCATAACATAAGGGAAAGAAATGTAAAGAACACTAAATGAATTAGCATCTTCACAAGCCTTAGGCACTTCCAGAGTAGATACCAAAACCAAACCAAAGTTCTAGGTACTCCAAACACAAGAGTAACACCACTTTAAAAGAAGGATTAAACGTTTTAACCAATTTTGCTACTCTGTATTTCTGTACAATGCCTCTAGATAGGTCACTATTTAACTTTAGATCAAGTTTGTTACACACTGGCACATGCAAGTTTCAGACTAAGACACTACCCTGTGTTCCTTGTTCAAAGATTTTTGAGATACAAGAAAATATGTTCTTCTCCTTATACTTCTTCAATAATCCTGCTTTAAACTGCGTAGGTAGCTTCTTTACTAAGTTATTTTATATTTCTAGCAATGATTTATGCCCTTTTTCTACACAGTTCTGCTTTCAAATTTCAGAAAACAGAACTATTGACATGTACTGGAAGAAATATTCCCCTGCATCCCCTGTATTCAGTGGTTCATTAGATTACAATCCCTTTCTCCAAGAGGAAAAAGGATTAACAAACAAATTCAAGGAAGAGCACCTAAACAAGACCTCAAACTTCTCTGGGTATCTCAAAGAATAGGTAGAGTACATGAAAGCCACACACAGCTACTGCAGAAGACGGCAACAACAATCAGAGGCAGCATTTCTGAGTTGCTACTGACTCAACAGATATGCAAGGAGCTGCAAACATTTCTCCTTCTAAAGGAAGGTACAAAAAAGTTCAACCATTTTTTGATATCAGAAGTCTCCCCAGGAATTTTTCACGCTGCTCCTATTTCACCATTGTGTCAGGCTAGCACATGCTTCCTTACTTTAACAACCAATGGAAACTACCACAGGCAATTCCTCCCACAGCTCCCTGAAAGCATTAAGTACTACATTGCATCATTTGCATGAGAAAGTGTCCAACTTCATTATTATGGGCAAAATAATCCTTAGATGCAAAGTGATTTGATGAATTCTAACACTAATGCTATTTCCAGGAAGATATTGTAAAAGGAACTTACTACTAAGGGTCCAAACCTCACTTATGTTCTTCTGTATCTTAAATGAATACAAGCCCTTGGGTGAATCGTAGCTCCCTCACCACCCTCTCCTCCCAGGTCATCAGTCTTTTGAAGATATGATGCAATAGTTAGCAGTTTTCTCTACCTTTTTAGGTGAGAAGACTCCCAGTGTTCCTCCATCTTCCCGAATGGCAACTCCCATTTCTGCCAACAGTGCCTCCCTGAGAGAGAAAAGCAAAATATTTACCCTATTTTAGGCTTCTTAAACAAAATAAGGTCCAAAGGAAGTCATGCAATGAATAGATTAGACTTCCAAGCAGTCTATTCACTGATCATACAGCTGGGACTGTCACTACCTCATAACACAATAGGGCAAGTTTCTAAACTTTAGTCCTAGGGTTATAAGCCTGAAGAACAGCAACAGCAAAAATTCTACAGAGACTTAACAGCATTTTAGTGTAACAATATATTACAAGATAAGTACATTTTAGGACATTACATTCATTGCTTCTTTAGAGAAGGTTAAAGTCTGTTCTAAATTTAAATATTTAATTTAGGTAAAAGGAGCTACCACTATTCATTAATTCACAAAGACTGAACTGTCTTTTTCTGATCTCTCTCCTCCTTAAGACATAAAAAGGATTGTATTGGGTCAAACTGTTCATGTAACACAGTATTCTTGGCTTTGACAAAGCACAACAGTGATGCCAACACAGAAGAATAAGAACATGGCAAACACTGTGGTATTTTCCCCAAAGTATTCTCACAGTCTCCCAAATTCTTCCTAAGGAATTTACAGAATTAATGGTGGCATTTCTTTTAAAAAGCTATCCAAAGTGGATTTTTTGTTGGGTTTTTTTTGAGGTTTTGTAATTTTTTTTTAAATTCAACTCCTAGCATCAACATCCTGCAGTAAAAACTTCCACAGCTTAGCTCTGTGTTGTGAGAACTTCCTATTTGTTTCAAATCACCTATTAGCCTTAAAGTCCCTTAGCTCTGTCAGTGAATAATCAATCTCTATCCACTTTCTTCATATGTCTCTCCTGATTTTAGGGGCTGCTCACTCACATTGTTTCCAGGAAAAGATGTTCCCCTTAAATAGTTTGTAAGTTTTAAATACTCTGATTTGGCTTGGTTTGGTTGCACCCACTTTCTGACAATTATTAAGCACGTGTCTTGTTGCTCTAAGGCACAATTCAAACCAAAGCTGGAAAGCTGTAGTTGTTTCATTTTAGATACTCCAGTATTAAAAACTTAATATTTTCTGCTTAACTTTAGGGCCAGAATTTCTGGAATGTCAGCAAATGGTGGAAGGGGGAAGAAAGAGACCAGGACTCCGTGCTGATTCACAGCAGAGGCCAATGTAGCAGCTTAGGATGTTACCTGAATTACAACACTAAACATTTTAACTGTAGGAAATACAGGAAAGAACACAGCTTTCTCTCAGTATTGCCCCTACATATATAACACAAAGGTCAGCAGAATTATCACTGAGCACTCTTCTGCTGTTCCATGCTTTTGAACAGAGTAACATTCTCTATTTTCCACACTTCTCTGTTTTCTAGAGACCATCCACATCTACAGCATTTCTGATTCCTGACCTTTCCATCCTTATGGCCTCAGTTTTCCTCAGCTTCTCTTCCCATGTTTCATTCAGCTCTGCAATGATCTTCTCAGATTCCTGTGTAAAAATCCCAGAAGCTGTTTAACAATTCTTCTCAAAGTTCTTTACATAAAAAGCAAAGCAACTAAGTTTGTGCTCAGTTCTAGACTTCAAATTAATCTTGGTTATAAAAAGTACTCTCTGCACTTCAAAACTCTAAGTTGTCTTACATAATTTTTAAAAGGATAAATAACCTTGAAGGCAAGATGAGAAGAAAAGATTACTTCATATCTAACCACAATCAGACACTAATTTGAACCGCCTACATTTTTTTTTCCTCTCCTAAAATCTGATTTACAGACATCATTCAGTAACTGGATGCCAAGGATCTGCAGAGATCACACTGTTATTTCCATGGCAACAGCAGGTTTTTAATAGGAAAGGAGAAATGCAGTGTGTGTTCCAGCCCATTCCAATTTCTGTGGCAGTGTCTCATGGACAAGACATGAGAATGAAGCATAGATTCAACACAACCAGCTCTCCCCACTCATCCACCCATGGAGACTAGGGGGGGGGCTTTCATAAAAATTAAGAAATACTTCACTGTAATGCACTTTTGATGCGGTTCAGTTCTACGCAGAATTGGGACAAGGCTGCTATTGTCTGGATAAAGCATGCTATTCTGTGTGCTTCACATTTTAATCTGTGGGGGCTGGGCAAATACAACAGTGGCAGGATTATTCTTCCTCCCTTTTTCAACTTCAGGGTAATTTGGTTTTCTGAAAGCTGAGTGCATTGACTAGTCAGACTTTGTCCACCCTAGTGCTGAGCAGGTCTCCTGAAGTCTATACTTATGATCAAATTTTCCATAATTACCACTGTATCAGAGGATCTGTAAACAAGAACCAAGATTTTAATTTATAATTTAGTTGTAGCTCCAGGCTACAATTAAGCCTAAATAATCCTAACAGGACAGGCTGTGCATAAACCCAGTTTCTAGCCCACCACAGTTATGTACCTTTTAGGGTGCAAGTGAGTTTCAGACAACTTCCTAAAAAAACAGTATCATACTGGATATATTTATGAAAGAAAGTTCTCCCAAGTTCACTGCTATTTAGCCTTGGAAAAGACCAAAATAACCACCTCCTTATTCTACAGCAATACCTACCTTCAAACGTTCAATTGCCTCTTCTCCTCCAGGTGTTGACATGATTCTTTCCTGTATACTGGACACAGATGTTAACCCCACCTGACTACTGAGAGAGCAGGAGGATGGAGATGCAGTGAGGGACCCCATGGAGGCTGTGGAAAAATTGCCAGGACGTTGATTCTCGGAGGCTAGCAAGTATCTATGTTTATTGTTCTGAAAATCTTTCAAATCTGGGAGAGAGACACACAGACAGAGGGAAAGCAGAAAGACGGGAAAAGGAAAATAGGAAGAGGGAAGGAACAGGAAAAAGGAAAGGAAGGAAATACAAGTGTAAGAGGAAAGCATTTAAGCAGCAACAAGTTTTGTAATTTTTAGATGGCAGTTCTGAAACAAGTCTTTTAGTACTAGTATCCATGACAAAGATACCTCAGTTCAGACCCCGAGGATTATTAATAAGGGCTGCATCATAAACCATTTTGATCAAAAATCTTGAAAAAATAAATTACGCACTTCCCAAAAAGTAAAGCATCCTATTCCTAACTGAACACTAAACTGAGCACCATGGAGCTCACACCAGGAGCAGATTCAGTTTCTTATGAATTAGTGACATTTTGGGCTGAAGCCTCAATAGACCAACCCCTTAAACTCTGCACAACACTCTCTTCCAGACACTTTTAATCTAAAATGGTGACTCAGTAAATCTTTATCACAGCAGTGGTTCTGCTGCTTAACCACCCAGACCACAAGGACAAAGAACTACCTCTCCCTAAATTCTCACAGGAGAGTATGTAAATCACCTGTCCATGACAGGGAGAAGAGAACACAAATTTACAATAACATCATTATGTTTTCTCTTGACCCTCCTGATCTGAAAAATGGAAATTTAAGACACCTGAGCAGTGAAATATCTGATAAGGCTCTCATACTTCAGAAGGTGCTTTAAAGCTTTTTGGTCATAGTTTAAATGAGGAAGGCCTTAAAAAAAAACCCCAAAATTGAATAATACAGCTTGTGTAGCCTGAAAACCTGGAGGTCTGAAGGATGCCTCCTTGAAAGACAGAAAACAAGGAAAAAGTGCATGAATGATTTAAGAACGAATTTCCAAATGCATTTTTTTTAATCTAATTTTAATTTAACTTAGCTTCCCAGATAAGTCTGTAAATCATATCCTCAGAATAATCACATACAAAAAAAAAAAAATCTTCTAACATGGAAATATCAGACAATTAAATAGCTCAGTTTTATTAATTCTGATAGTTTAAAATTCTATTTTAAAAAGCAAACTTTAAAATAAGCATCCTTATGAAAGAAACAGGTCAAATCAGACCTTGCAAGTTATAAATAAGGTCTTCACACTTAAAAAAAATGAGATGCTCATCCAGACGTTGCATAAATTTCCACGTCCTCCTACATCTTCTCTACTCCTATCCTGAACAATTCTGCTATTGTCAGCCTTAAGCTCTAGTTCACCCCACATTCAACCTGCTGTTTCAGTCTCATAAAACTGATCAAATCAGTTTGAAAACCACCATCTGCAAATACAGGAAGCAGGGGTGGGAGTTTAACAGAAGAAAAGCAGGTTAAGGAAAGGGAATGCCATCAGGATGAGGAAAGCAGGCATGACAGAGCAGGGAGGATGAAGTCTCGAAAGGCCAACAGACGCATGCACTCCTGAAGATAAAGGAAGTGGCACTTGCAATAGCTTTCACAGTTGCTGCGACCACAGAGAACCAAAACCCTCAACATCATGCACGCTTCTCCTGGAGGCTGCAGCTTTCACACCGATGACATATGCACACGCTGAAAGCAGCATTAGAACGTAAGACAAGGCCAGGATGAGTCTTTACACCACCAGTAGCTTTAATCTTAGGAAATTTCAGACAGATCTCTTCCAGTTGATATTGTTTGAGTGAGGGTGAAGAAGACTGACTGAAAGAGTTTAAAAGGTGTAACAACATAAAATTTACATAGAATACATTTCTCCTGCAATGGATTACACATTTTCCTTTCATAGAATCAAACAGTAGAAGAGAAATAAAATGTTATTTGCTGACTGTTTTTAACCTTATTAAGTTAATAATCTACAATCAAGTATTTGAGCTCAAATAAGAGACCTTCATCAATATAAGATGTCCGACTTTTTTTTTTAAGAGACTATGCAAAATAAAATCTCAAGTCTCTAGCAGGAATTGCTAACATTTCATTTTGAGTTAATCAATTGATATATTTAAAACAAATACTTTTAGGTGGAAAAGAGATGATAAAAGGCTGGGAAGGTAGGTGAATAGAAGCTGTTTTAACCAAGTAACTTGAGAAAGATTTCAGAAAAAGATATTCTAGTTTGAATCTAAACTGTTGGCTGTCATGAAAACAGACTAAAGAATTACAGAATCACAGAATCGTAGAGAATTACCACTCTCCCTTCTATATTCTGGCAGAATGAAAACAATGAATATATGTTGCATTTCAAACTGTGCACTTTTTTTTGACTGACGACTCAATCTAAGAAATGCTGGTTAAGCTAGTTTCCATGAAACTGCATTGCATTCCACAGTGAGTGTTCTGTCTGGGATTTCCCTGTGAGAAATGCTGGCATGCAAAGCTCAGTTAAAAGCTGACCCAGAGAAGGCAGGTTATAAAGAGAATCACACAATACACACATTTGCCTCCACTTCCAGAGTATTCATCTCCCATTGGATCAACTGAAAGGAAGCAGGAGGGAAAATACAAGAAGGATCAAAATTGGAAGGTTCACCAGTGACACAGGAAGGGAAGAGAATACTACTTGATGTTTAAAGAAACAAAACACAGTTTTCAGTAATGCAGATTGGTTTTTTTTCCAGTTTTGATTTAGAACTAAAAAACACAGACTGTACCAAGCATGAAATAACACCTGCATTTCATTGTCTTCTGGCCCCATTCTCTTGAAAACAAGCAAACAAAAGGTAAATACATGTTACACATCTTTAAGCAGCCTGTGACTAAGTCAGGACTTCTGTTTCACAGGCAAATAAGCTCTGATAAATCAGAAACTAGTGCAATATTCACTTTTTTTTTTTTTTTTACTTTCCTTTTTTAAGTCAAAGAATCTTTCAGTCCCCTGGAATACATTCTGTGTTTTTACGGGCATCCCATCACTAGGAATAAATCACTGCTCCTACTACAGAAGCACGTAGCAGCTAAAATTTTAGTTTATTTGCTTTGTTTGGAATGAAGACAAGAAATAATTCAGGCACAAGTTTGCTCTGGTGCTTTAAAAGTTTGCTGGCAAAGCAAATCAGTATAATTCTGCTCTGCCAACCTAACTTAAAATCTCACCACAAAATAATTCATTATTTATTCATAAGCAGCTGTTTCATAGCTAGATATTTTGAGATGACAAATGGTTTGTCACTCTGGACACTGCCTAACAGGAATTTCCTTTTCTAAGCACGGATGGCAGTGAAGCCAGGTATCAACTAATAACCTTAACCATTTAGGGAGGAAGAAGAGGCGCTTTCTTTCTCAGTACAATATTCAGTTTCTGTTTCTCAACTACGCTGCAGCTGGACAAAAGTTCTTCACGACTCACCAGGGCAGCTCTTGAATGTGTAAGTTCTATTACAAAAAATAATTTCTACAGTAATAGGAAAGTAAATCTCCATGTTTTTCCTGAAGAGTTTGAGGGTGGCCTGTCAACTCTACAGACAATCTTAGGATGGCTTGTTTAAAGACAGAAGAGGCTACTGTTCCTAAAACCATGTTCAAAATGTAATATCAATTAAATTAACTCAATTTAACTTCCATGTTTTAAATCTCTTTCTCTCACAGGCCCACCTCTCTTTCCTAAGAGAGACAAACCTCAGGATGGTAAGGTCTGTTTAATCCACTTACTGTCAATAATATCTCCCAGCCCTTGGGCGCGCAGGAGATCCTTAAGCCTTGTCACCTCCTCCTTCAGCTCACGTACCAGCTTGGCATTGGGGTCTTCATTGATAACAGCATTGCATTTAATTTGTTTTGCACGATCAGCATATCTGGAATCAGAGCAAAAAAACAAAACCTTATAATGAACATACGAGTGCTTATCTGCAACACAGGAATGCAGCAACATAGGAGACATTTAGCCTGCAATTGTATATAATCCTGGATTATATTCAGTCATGCTTTTGAATTCATATTTAATATATGATATTGCTGTGAAAGAGAGAAGTTCTATCCAAGGTGGATTAACAAGGTGCATTGTACATACAACAGACAACATGCTTTTTTCTTATTTCTTTATTCAGTGCTTTGAAGCCTCAGTTTGACTAATATGTGTAATTTTAGGGACCACACTGGAAAAGAACATATGAACATGAGAAGATGAGTTTGATTTTTCAAGTTAAGAGTAGGCCATAAAACGCTAGCACCCTGTTCAAATAGAGCAGATTGGTTTTCCTCTTTCATGGTAATTGAGTTCTTGCCAATATAGATTCGCCTTCCTCACATATTTTCTCAAAGTATAATAACCCAAAGGTTTGAAGGACAGAATTTGGCCATTAGAGCTAACAGCTACCGATATCCATCTCGAATGAAAAGAAAGTACCTTAAAGTGCTCAAAGTTTCGTCATAGTTTATGTCTGCTGGACTCAAAGCAGCAACCATGGCAGTTCTGGAGTTACCACCTATAACAGACAAGATTTCAGATTAAACTGCAGTGTACAATCTAGGCACTAATTACCTACTATGTATCAGTATTTTCAATAAATTATAGAATTCAATAATATTCTACATTACTAAGGAACATAGAAAAATCATAGGAAAGAGAGTTGTAACTTTAACAAAGGGTAGAACTATATGACTCAGATTTGACCACCAAAAATATTTAACCTCAGGCTCGATAGAAATTTAAGTGAGTTAAAAACAGTCAGAAAAATTAGTAAGAATTTCTTTCCATATTGCCACAGGTAAATCAGACATACCTAAATTTTCTCGAAGAAGCCATGTTAGTACAGAATCCCTGTACGGTATAAAGTCTGTTTTCTTCTTTTTCTTAGTCTACAAAGAAAGAAAATACTACTGAAAAATAGACACCAAATGGAAAACTAATTTTTAAGACATAAAAATCTTGGTATAGGTATTAAAAAAACCATGACAGCACATGCAAATGCTACCTGAACAGAGCAGTGGCCCATCCTCAGCTGTAGAAGTGATTACTGAGTTTGATATTAGATAATACGCAACATATCCTGACATTTAAACAGGTGTTGTTAAGCAGTCCAGAGAACTCCCTTGAGGCAGTACCTTCAGAAATTTTTTTCTGTGTATGAAGAACAACTTTCTGACATTTAAATTCTGTGTTCTAACACCATTCCAACATAATTTAAACTGTAAACCTTACTCATTCAGGTGAAGATTTGTTTTTCCTTTTCTAGAAGAGTTACAGCTTTTTAGAGCAGTCAAAGGTCCAGATGCCTAAGTACTTTGTGCTCAAATCAGTAGTGAAAAAGCAGCACAAGAGAGAGGGTCTTCTTAGCACCTTTCCTCTAAGACCTGACATAAAAGATCTCTGCTTTTTTGATTCCAAAGTGAAGAGAATAAAATCTTACACTCAGCCAAAAAAGACAACATCCACTACTACTCAGACCATCATACCTTGTTGGTGCAGTTATCCTAGGTTGAAAGCATTAAAGAAAGATGAAAAAGATACAAGATGAGCTCTTAAAAGAGTTTTCTATATAATTTCCATGTTAGCTTGGATAGTATTTTCTTTTCTTGACAAGCCAAATGAATGAGAACAGTTTTCCTTTAAAAAAAAAAATTATCTAAAAAATATTTAAGTATATTTAACTGATCCCAAGCTGTTGAGAACCCACTTTTAAAAAGAACAGTAATAATTTACTTAGGGTTTTTTTTAATAGGAGTTGAGTGTAAAAGTAAAATACAAAGTACTTCTCTAAACCTACAACATTATATTTGGATCAACATATGCTCACTCAACTCAAGACATTAAGTCTCAGCATTGCCAAGAAAGCCAGCAATAATCGAATTATTACACTGGTATTTCTAAAATTTTAACAAGAAAGCTGCAGTTAGTTTTCTAAACCTGTTATTTCAAATAAAAATAAAATTACTGGTCTGCAGAACTAAAAGCTTGCTACATGAACATGTCTTCTAAACAAATACAGGCTTCTGTCGTAAGGCTTCTTCACAGCTAAACAAACCAATGCTTCAAACTACTGACAAAGTTTCTACCAGTCTGCATGACATTCACAGAATACGATCAGCACTATTCATCTATCCAAATACACAGAGCTAATCTGTCTGAGAACACTAGGCCAAGACCAGTGAATGATTCTGCTGTACTCCATGGTTTTTAACTGTCTCAGTTTTACTAGCTATGGAAAGGTTGTTACAGGTAAGTAAATGCTGTACTTACCACTTCAGCCAATGCTGAAATAACTTTGCCCAGAGTTGTGAGAGACTTGTTTATATTTGCTCCTTCCTGAGAAAACAGAATCCAGTATTATAGAGTAATTAAAATTGCTCAACCATGAACCTCTGTAGACTAAATGAGCCAAATGTCACACCCATAATCGCAGAGGAAAAAAAAAAAACTCTTCAGTTTTGCAGCTATTTTTTCCACACTCGTAATTGCAGTCCTTTCTTTTCTTTATTATTTGCCAAGCAAAGACTCCACATGATGCTTATGAACCCACTTCCCTTTCTTTCCCCTACATCAACGGCCCAATACCTTTAATCGGGTTCCTTTGGCACCAGTTGAATCAGCTCGCTCGCTCCCAGCTAGATCCACAAGGCTAATCTTGCTGACCTGAATGAAGACAGAAAGCACATTAACAATGAGAATTAGTTCTTGGTGAACTAGAGTAAGAAGAAAACTTTAAAGAATTCTATGGCATGAGAAGAACATTTTACAGGGCCTTATTTTTGGGAAGGATGTCTTCAACACATACATTTTTTCCGATCTGTCCAGAGAAGTCAGTTCAGAAATGTGAACATTACCTGTATTTCAGCTACTTTTGCATGCAGAGCCTCTGCTCCAGAGTAATAAAAGACAAAAAAAACTGTTCCAGGCTAAACAGTGTACCTCCTTTTAACATGCAAATTCCAGAAAGTGCATAAGTCTCACTCATCCCAATTCCTGTGCTCAAAGAAAAGAACTAACGAGGCAAATATTTTGCACTGACAACCAAAACCACAGAAAGTTCTGGGAACAAGAATGGGGAAGATTAACTCCATTTATTTCATATATCCCTCCCCACAGAACCCAGTCCTTAAGGCAGTATTTTTCCCACACCTATATATTCTCCTCCTGCACATATTCCCCATTTAGTTGTTTTTAGCATTACAATCAAACAAAAACCTGTAAGAAATAAAAGGGCTCTGTCAAGGCACACGGCAAGTGTACCCTTAAACAAAATACTAGAAAAAACAATTCATTCTCATTTTCTCATCATACTGCCACTAAGAATATGTCACTGCAGGGAAGATTTGTGAAAATCAGGCAGAAAGCCTCTTTTCTCTAACATACCTTCTCTGTGGAAAGATCAGTTTCTGTGTCATGTTTCTTCTGAGTAAAGACAATTGTAAACACAGCATGAGAGCGGCTGCTGGTTTCATTCATGTTGGTAGCTGCCACAGTCCTAAAATATGAACAGACAGGTTTAGAAAACAGTAGCCTCTATGCTGCAAGTACAACTGCCTGCAGGGCTGAATGCAGCTGTAGAAGAATGAGACCAAGAGGCTGTAGTTGATGTTCTGCCCTGTAACCAAGACCAATCCACACCTAATACCATTAAAAAACCCTTTGATTTTTTTTTTTTACTCCTAAATTACTCTCATCTCCATCACAGTTTAAACATGCCTTACTCAACTTGTGTACTCAATAATCTACCTTATACTCAAACGCACAAGAAAATGCGAGTGGCATTCATGCCTGTCTTTCCTGTGCATTGTTAAATGGAGCCTACAGCTGACATGAAAATAACTACTAATGAACCAGAACCTACAGGTAGAACGCCACCTTTAGTCCTGACTACCTGAACGAATGAAAGAGCAGACTGTGTTTACAAGTTTATTTATACCAATATAGTGATACAGTACACAAAGGCAGAACTAAAAGCCAGTATAATTACTTACATACCTCATCTCAAGCCATTACAAGCTTTAAATACCTATACAGCAGCACTATTTCACTACACAAACCCATTTTAGCCTTTTAATAGTGTTGATCAGTGTATATTCCAACAATACTCTCAAGTTTTTCAAAAAGTGTTAATGCACCACAGCAGATATTTTAACTATGGTGTTATATGCCATATATCCCCACAGCAGAGATAAAAAACACATAACACGCCACCATCACTAACCTGGCTTTGTTCCCAGCATCCATGAGGTCTGCAATATCTGTGTAAGATGTGACTGCTAACTTGGACAGATCTTCCACATACGGCCCAAGCAGAGGATGCTCTCGCACCCGCAAATTCCCTTTGTTCTTCGGGTTCAACAAGTCTCTGACTCTCTCACAGTAAATCTCCATGTAACTCACCTGAAAACAGGAATTTGCATAAACAATTTAGTGTTTCTTAAAGCTTCCTCTGCAAGCAGCTCTGTAGCATTTCAGGGTGCCACTGGCAGAAACTCCCCCAGTCCACTACAGGAAAGATACAGCTGAGTGCCTCTGCTCATGTAACAGCTTAAGACAAGTGGCAGAAGGGAAGAAGGGTCGATGATCTCATGCATCAGATCTCCAACATAAGCTGGAGGCCTTGCATCCACGTATAGATCCCTCAACCATTTAAAAAAATATTGGTGTTTAATTAAAAATCACACACTTGAGTTCCCAATCATTTTAACAGCTTTAATATGACACAGCAGCAAAACTATCTTTCTAAAGAGGCAAACAAGACAGATGGTAAAAGGAATCTGCCTACAAGGAATCTCTCTTATGAACCTCCAAAGCAAACTTAAGAAGGGAAAAAAAATAATTTATCTGTATGCAGAAGCAACTTTTGATTCTAAGCTGTACCCACGTCCTCCCATATTCCTGAGTCATCAGTACACTTATTCAAACTAGGGTAATCTTAAATCTGCACCCTTTGAAATAAACTATATAGCTAAGATTATTTTTAAATGTATTCTTTAATTTTTATGTTTCTCATGGCATTAGGCTTATCCTAGTCCAACAGGTACTTAGCAGCTCCATCAGTAAAGATATTACATATTAAAAGAAACAGTAAGTTATTTAATTTCATTCTGTGGAAAGATTACAGATGTAAGCAGCAGTTACAGAAATACAAAGAGATCTCCAAGCCCTAAATAAGCACAATTCAGAAAAAGTAATTCTATATCCCAAAGAGATCACAATACACTATTTATACACTTCCATCACAGTTTCTGTCTAGTTGTCTCCCTTCTCTGTTTGTCAGAAGTTCGTTCTTTTGGATTTCCTTTATGACAGAGACTATCTCTCTCTTAAATGCACAAATCTATGCTTGGAGACATAATGAGAACCATAAACAAGTACCAAATAGAAAACACGTCACGAAAATGTGGGAAGCTTCTCATTCACAAATCTAAACATGATGCTCCCATGGCATTCAAGCATTAAGTCTTCAAATGTTAATAAAATACAATTAAATGAAGCATTAAAATGGACAGATTCAAAGCCACAGAACTAGTCATTTTCCAGTTCTGTAATTTAGAAGCAGTAATGACTGGAGTTCACATTCATTAGTAATAATCACATTTGATTTCTACCAGCTTTTTGGTTTTCCTTTCTTTCAAAGTTTGCAACATATTTGCATGTCATGCCATTAAAACTGATTGGGGGGAAAAAACAGTAAGAGAAATAAAATACTGTTTTTGTGAAGCATCTGCTTTTATTTTATCAGCATCTTAACGCAGCATCAGTAACGCAGCACCTAAGCCCAGTCTGATGTCTTTGATCTCTCACCGTACTCACCTCCACTGAATATGACATTTCCTCATTGCTGTTGTCATTGATTTTCTCAAACAGTTCTTCACATAGCTGGAAAGAGATTAAACCTGAGTCAGAAATTAATCTTTAATGACATGTTATAGTAGTTACTTGTTATTACTTGGTAAATTAGCTTTAGAGTAAGGGTAGGGGAAGGAAAAGAACCTATTACATCAACCACATACAGCCTCACTGGGAAGGTACTTCATCTCAATTCTACATCACTCTCATTCAATCTTATTTTATCCAGTATCTCAACAATTGTTCTAGGCTTAACCAATATTACTATTCTACACTATAAAATTAGAAATTTTATAGTACAGAAATTTTAATATATCTCTGTAAGAAATGTGTATCAAAACATTGGGAAAAAATATTTAGGGCAACTGAGCACAGCCTAGTGTTATTTCCCCCTGCAATATTATTACTTCCTGCCCTGTTATTTCAGCCTGGAATAACTGAAATTGGAAGTAAAAATTTCAGAAAGTAATGCTTAAAATCTTTAATCCTCTCACAGTCTCATAAAAACAATAGTCTGTTTATTCAGTGCACTGAAGTTCCAGGATTCAGATTTAAATCAATAGGCAGAAAATATTTCCAAATTTGTTAACAGTATCTTCATACGAAGGATAGTTCATGTATCAGTGGTCTACTGCTTCAGCAGTGCTTGTCTACAAGTAACTGAAATGAGAGACCTAAAATTAAGATAATGAAGAAGAAATGAACAGAGGGCAAGCCATGGATATGTATTTGGAAAATAAAAAGCATGAGTACAGCATGAGTAGAAAGATGTTTCTGGAACAGACCATTCTATGAAAAATAAACAGATTATGAAGAATACAGGTAATTTTGAAAGTAGATGCTCTGAAGTATTCAGGCAACACATGGTTAAAGTATCATGAAGTTTCACACTAGGGACTGGGAGACAGGGAATTTTGCCAACACATAAGAACTTAATGTCAACAAGCTATATTACTTGGAACATGATTGCGCTGTACCTTCTGTGTACGTGACAAGAAAGAGAACAGATTCAACAAGGTCTCCCTGAATAGATAATTCGTTTTGTACCTTTATGAGAAGGCCTCCCAGTTAAACTGGAGGGAAATTATTTTGGTTTTAAACTGTAGTAGATAACAGGAGCATGATTAAATTTACAGAAGCACTATTAAGTTGGGGGTTTTTTAGGTTAACATTTAATTTGTATATATCTGAGGTTTCAGAAAAACAAACAGGAGTATCAAGGTTACAACAAAAAAATCTAGCACAAAGCTGTTGTCACAGATTTTCAGCTCATTTCACCTGTAAACACTGTTACTTTATACTACTGTAATAAAGCCAAAATGCTTAGATATAACAATTCTGTCCTTCATCACATTAGCTTTTTCAACACTATTTTAAGCTAATCACCAGAACACTTGCTATCTATTTCAGTACATATGCCCACGCTATTACCAAACAACACTTTTGTGTCATCTATTTCACATCTGTGGCACAGGGCCAACGTCTATTGCAAACCTGTAGCAGAATGAGGATTCAAGCTGTTCAGTGTATTTATTTATTAAAACTGAAACCCAACCCCAGATTTCTATGTTGGGAATGGATGAAAGCGGTATCTTCCAACAAAGCTGGTCCTCTGTCTGCACCCACATAGTGAGGAAGGCCTGAGCTTAGAACAAGGGCCACACAACCAACAGCAATAGAATGCTAAATTCACGATGAAGGTTTAAATTGTTGTCAGACAAAACTTCCTGGGGGGAATATCTCAGCTTCTTCAAATTTCATGGCAAATGTCAAAAACAAATTTCAGAGTGGGAAAATAACACTGCCCTAAATATTTTTTCCCAATGTTTTGATACACTTCACTTCTTACCAAGATATATTATTTAGGTTTTAGCTTTCGGAAACTTGTTTCCATAAAAAGTTTCTGGCATGTTCATCAGTAATACCACCTTTTGAATTCCTGTACAAACTGCTTAAGTGCTGCCCTAGCTAAAGGCAGAGAAAGAGTCAAGAAACCCAGTGAATAAGACATCTTGATTTACTAGTTTGTTGAAGAAGTGTAGAAATTGGATGAAGGAAAAATATACAGAATGTATAGTACAATTAAAAAAGTAACAGAGGGAAAATCACTTATAATGCTTTTTTTCCTCAGTAGATTTCTATCACTTTAGAAGTAAGCTATGGTTCTCTAATTGCAACACAAGTGTGTGTCTGAACAAGCTATAAAAAACAAATCTCCTTTCTGGGTTCTGTTCTACCTGGGGGATTATGCCTGCTTGGCTCTCCTCTTGCTTGCCCATCATTGTGTAGGATTTCCCAGCTCCAGTTTGTCCATAGGCAAAAATGCATACATTGTAGCCCTCAAAGGCATGCAGCAACATCTCCTTCCCAATATCATTGTACACACGGTTCTGAGATGCAAAGCAGGGATCTTCAGGCTGAAAAGACACAAAAACAACATAAATACAGTCTTATCCTACCATGCAAATAACATTTCAAAAAGCAACCGGGTTTTTCTCTGCTTCTATCTTGTGGGTCAATGCCTTAGGAAGAGGCAAACGTAGCACATTTTTTACACACAGCATTTTCCTAATGCAGTACCAGCTGGACAAGAACGACAACCCTTGCAGGACCACTCCATCAACGCTGAGAAAACCATCTGCACAAAGAAACCAACCAATTCCATTCTGTGAACGTTGTTGACACTACTGGAAAAGTTTTGTGCAAGATCACTGACAAATGAGACTCAGAGTGTTTGCAAAGAGGGAAGTGGAGGGAGAAAATCAAAAGTAGAGTTTGGAGAGTCAATACAAATGAATAAAGGTCTGGAAGCTACAAAACCCCCACAGTGGCTGGTCTGGACAAGGGCTCTGAAGGGTAGCAGGGGGAAAGAGAAGTAAAAGTTGCTTAGGTTTATTTTGTTGAGTTATTTAAAGATTAAAAGAGTGTAAACAAATCATTAAAATGACCAAGTTTTTCTTGCAGCTGTCCGATTCCACTGTCAAATCCAATCCAGGTTTCTATTTACAATCTCACTACTGGCTACAAAATCCCTAAGTATGTCAATACATATTTCAAATTAGCAAGTGGCTGAACCGGTCAAGGACAATGTATCAGAATATTTTTCTATGGCAACATTCAAGGTTAGCAATAAAACTGAAATATAATATTCTCTGACTGATCCTCTAATCTGCTGCTCTGGATGATTCAGTAGAAGAGCTGCACAAATCCAAGTTTTTCATAATGAAAACAACCTTGTTGGCTACAGATTTGCTCAGAAATAAGAGTCTCATTTGTACCATCCAAGCTACTTAAATTAATCTTATAGAAATGTATTATCCCTTCTTTCTATACCTTTTGAGAAAATAAGGCAGGGGAGGGGTCGATGGCAGAACAACACAGATCTGGTGTAAAACAATTACTGGAAGTCAGCAAGACCTTAGCACCAATTTGCAGGAGGGTGGGGCAGAGGAGCTAGATGAGAGTTTATTGCTTTTGCAGCTATTGGAAACATGGATCACTACTCTGTCTTTTCCAGATATGCAAGGGAACTCAGAGTACATCTCTCCTTGAACTCTTAAGAACTCAAGCAACTTTCACTTGTCCAAGAGCAAAACTGAATTAACTGTGGTTCAGACACATCCTTAAAATATTTAGAATAGAACTCTGTTGGACAACATTTTCAGTAATCTTTCCAATATCCACAACTTGTTACCAAACTCCGGAAGCTTAGCTTTCCTTCCCCAGGAAAAGACAATATACAGTGACAAGCTTTTAACCTGAATAAGAGTGAGAGAGACAGTGCAGAAACACCTGACAGGGATGGCATGACCAGGAGAGAATGCAGTTAAATCAAGACAGTCAACAACACCACCACCACCAGAACTCCACCAAATGGTTTTCTTGTAAAAGAACTTACCGATGTGTGGGACCAGTAAGAGTAGTCAAAGCTGAAGGACTTTGGTGCTTCCTTAGGATTCTTTGGGTTGATAATACCTACAGGAAATAAAATTCAAACTCTTAGCTAACTTGACATTTAGGAGCATAATTAATGAGCTTGCTGACCCTCAACTCGTATGTCTGTAGTTTCCATATTCCAAGGAGGGTAATTTATAAGCACAGCTCTTGTTGCTGAAGTGAATCTCTACTGCTTTCTTCTTTTCAGTACTACAGTGCTGGAAATACTTAAATCTATTATTTCCAGCATCTGTTTTCAACACCATCTGTGTAAGTAAGGACTGTAAAAACACACACTCTTGAGGGCATCAAAATTAGATAAACCACCTTAGATTTACACATACCCATCTGCACCTAAAGCAGCAATCTGCCTTTGAGAGTGATACACTAATTATGATACATGCAAACAAAATCTACAAAGAAAGAAGGTATACAAAGGTGGTGACAGTCTTCCTGGGGATGATTTAAATCCTGATACCAACCATCCTAAACAAATTATGCTTATTCCTCACATATTAATGCCAGTCAGGCTACGCTTTGGGAGACAGAGGCTTCTCCCTTTCCTTCTGCAATAAATAAAAATTATAACACCCACATCTCTTACCATTTTAAACATGAACTTAACATCTTGTTGCACCAAAATCTCTGAAACTATGATTAGAGAATCCCCATTAATATTAAATCACTTCTCTACCAGATGCTGTGTCCCTGAGCAGGGCTGTTGTCCAAAATTACAGTGTGGAGAAAAGATCACCGATTGCAAATAGCAACAGTTGCTACTCCATTGCTTGTGGCCAACTCCATTTCACTTGGATGCACCTTGTGCTGACATTCTTGCCTTATAAAAGCTGACAGACATGCAAAGCCAGTGAATAATACGCCTTGCACCAGTAGAGTATCGAATGGCAAAAATGCCTGTGGCTTTGGATAGCAACATGGGCACCAACACACAACAAACTGGTAACCTAAGCAATCATTTATGGCGTTAGTTTCTCTTTGCTAGCTTTAACCGAACAGCAGGACATCTACAGCATGCACCGTGAAACCAGTTTTAAAGTTAAAGTGAACAAATAACTAATCCCAGAAGACAACTCCCCTGACCCAAACAGTTCTCTCCTTTCAGTGTATTCCAGACTGCTACAATCCAACAACTTCACGTTTCTCATCCAGTTATTTAACATCAAAGCTCTGAAAGGTAAGGAAGAAGCAATGCCTTGTACCTGGAAGTTCCTACCCAAAAAAGCAGTACAAATAAAATCCAATCTCCACATTAGTTCAACGTAGCAACCTTTAGGTGTGAACACTTATTTTCTTCAAATGTTTTGGGTTATAAACTCAAAGGAAAGTAATCTAACCATTAAAAGCAGAAAAAAGCACCAACAAATGGAACCCATTCCTATATACTGAAACCTATTCCTATATACTTTATAACACATTCTAAGCAGATACATGGAAAAAAAAAGTATTGCCTCTCCTGACAATATATATTCCGTTACTTAATCTCAGCAAATCATTTTAAGCCAAACTCTTGATCCTACTCTTGTGAGAGGAGTTGTGACTAGGGGAAGAGAGGAGCAAACACCTTTATTGCAACATTGTCCTGGAAACAGGAAAATCCTGGCCTGGTAAACTGAAGGGAATCAAGACAAGCAAAAGCCCAGCTACATCTTTGCTTGTCACATCAGTGTAGTTTTACTTTAGGGTGTGAATGCAATCATACAAGAGAGCTTTGATCTCACTTATTTACCTCATGATATGATTGATTTGTCTTCTCTTAGAATCAACAGTGAAAGAGCAAGTATTCATCAGGTTTTTTTCTATTTTTGTATTGTTGTCTATAAGGAAAAAGGACATTTCTCTTGGCCAAGGCAAAGCTGAATTTGGTCTCTCCAAGGATACAAGAGTTAAATTGCCTTCTAAGATTCTGCCCTCTCAGAAACAGAAAACAGAACAAGCAGCACAAATTTCAGTATTATTCAAAACCAGGTTTGATGTGAAAATACACACTTCCCATTGTTTTCAATAAAAATCTCTAGGAAAACTCCACCACTTCCAAAAAGAAAGCAAAGCAGCCAAATGTTTAATCATAAGAATAGCTTGTTTTTCCACTCAGCTTGCTGTGCATAAAGGCACACTGACCGCCCATGAAAGACAAGATCTCTAGCTATGCCACCAGCTTAGTGTCTGGAAAGGAACTACAAACTTGCCATTACAGCTTCATCCTGCTTGCTTCAAGCTTAAATTTGAGCCACCACATTTATGAAGAGTGAAGTTCAGGCTCTGTGATTTATGCAAGTGGTTCCACTCTGCCCTATTTTTTTAAGCTTTTATTATTATTATTTTCTTAGGCTTTCCTCAGCTCCCTCACACTAAGTTCCACGTCCAGCTCACTATTTTGAAAACTACTTTCTAGGATGCATGTTTTTGCAAAGAGTATCTTGAGAAGCATATCAGGAAAGGGAGATTAACATGCAAGAAAGCAGCTCTGTCAGAGGTTGGGAATGCAGCTGCCTGGCCAAAAACCTCCACTGCAACAGAAACAAGTCAGATAAAACCTCCTGGCTGCCAGGAACTCTGCATGCTGTCCCTCACTACTGTGATCCAGTCACAGCCTCTGCACTCAGCTTCTAGTCCAAGTCTGAAGTCTATTTATCCCCATTCTGTTTCTTACACAGAGTCGACATCCTTCATTTTCAGAATCACTGTTTTAACAGAATTCTGCCTACAAATTAATCCAGTAGAGCTGACTGATTGAGAAAATATAACAACCTCAACGGATTTCAATTAGACTGAAACCTGCTTCATCCGGAACACTGAGCACCCAGTGGGTAGCCGCTAGCATCAGGCATGTCTGATGTGGTCCGAGTTTGAACCAAGTGATGAGGTAGGCAATAATGTGAGATAAGACACCTGAAAGAAGATGAATGAGTCGGCTAAGAAACCAGGAATTCAAACTGAAGTAACTGATTTAACTTGAAGATGTCTATTGCACCAGGCGTCTTCTTTGGAGAGACAAGCAAATCCATGAAATCTAGCTACTTCTAAAAGAAGCTAATGCATATTTATGAAGAAATTAAAAAGACTTCTTACACTACAGGTAAGCTTTATCCTCAAAGTTCATAAGCCAAAAAGGAACCATCATGCAGAAATTAGACTGAGTGGGCAACACTGATTTTACATACCATGTTATTCAGCAAACTGTTTTCAGCTGAACAAGGAAACAAATAGAACTAAAAAAGTTAGAAGACTGTTTCCAGTGTCTCCAATACCCACAAGAACACTAAAAGTTTTTCAGTTATTTTGTTTGTTTTTTAAACCATGCAAGACCAAGATGAACTGTATTAGTGAATCATGAAGTAGGTCATCATGTATCTCCTCTCACCACAGCAGACTCACGGCATGGTACGCAAGCTAATAGTTTAATTACAGAGCCTCAGGAAATGAGAAAGGCAATAACGAAGCCGATCGCAGCAGGAACACATTAATGGCCTTTTTATCTTACAGAATAAATCTGTTTATCTGCTATTTCAAAGGTCCAATGTGGCAATTAACTCTTCTGTTTGCAAACTGACACTAACACTTTGTGCTGCAGCTATAATTAGTTACCACCAGCATGGCATCGGAGCAACTTTGACTGTAGGAGTTCGCCTGAGCAGCCAGTTTCTGAGAAACTCAATCCCCTTTTTCAGGCCCCTTGCTTCCCCAAGAGCCAACTTCTTAGGTCATGTAGAATCTTTCAGCTCTCCACAAGTTAAAGTTTCTGCATCAAACAGAAACTGGAAGGGGTATTTTACAAAATCACCATCTCCTATACCATTGCTACTGAAAAAGGTTACACATCACTCAGAAATGTTGGAGGAGTGAATCAAGATGATACCATTTTCCTACTGCAGTGTCTAAAAACTCTTTGGGATCAAAGCAGCAACCACAGTTTGGGATAAGGTTTGGAATGGAAAATTTACCTTTGGAATGGAAGGCTGAGAACAAGGCATGGGAATATTAATGCTTTAAAAATACACTCCACAAACTGTTGATTTGATTCAGGGAGATAAATGCCTATATTATTCCTTTTCTTTATTTGAATTGTGGATTTCCAGAAATTTTGAATAATATGCTTCATCTTAAGACATAATACTTACATCCATTTTCTAGCTTGGTAAACAAACAGAATTAGTAGAAGTAATTACATGTCATAAATTGATATAAAATTCAAATAAAAGTGTACTCTGTGAACAACTATGCAGTATTACCATTTTATTTGAAGCAGTTTATTTAATACCCACTGCCATCCCAGTCTAGAGACACAGTTTGCATTTTAAAAGCTTTTTTCTCCTTACAGTTCTATAGGAAGCCATACAGAGCTGCTTCAGGCCATCTGAGGTGCCTCTGAGCAGGAGTAATCCGCATATTCTCTGAAGCTCAAGTATTTTCAACAATTCTTTTTTAGCTGCTTAGCTATTTAAGTTTGGTGGGTTTTTTTTTTTTTCTTTTAAACAACTCCTTTTTAGCTGCTTAGCTAAGTTTGGTGGGGTTTTTTTTTTGTTATGTTTAACTACAAACATATGAGTTTTATATATCACTGACCAAAAGGTAAGATAATCAACAATTTTAAAACAAATTTGTTCACATCAAATAATCTAAGATTTTCTATGATTGCAAAAGACCCACATACTTTAACTAATTAGTCCTTGTAGAGAAGTATACAGTAGGAGCAGTACAGCCTAATAAAAGATAGAAGGAGAAAGCAGGAGCACAATCAGTAAAGGAATTATAATTTTAGATGTACTGTATCAACAGTAACAAATCAAACTCCACAAAACATTTGGATTTTAACATGCTCTTACTTAAACAGGCAACTTCATTTCTTGGCATAAGGTACTTCCACAGTCCATCCTACTTGTTCCCTAATTAACATTTTTCATACCATACACCATCTGCTTTATCAGCTAGCATAAAAATATCACACTTTCAACCTTTCCAGTCTATGAGATCAAACTCATTCCTAGTTTTTAATTTTAGCAAAAACTGTTAGCAAACTT